AGAGGAGAGGAGAGCAGAGGAGAGGAGAGGAGAGCAGAGGAGAGGAGAGCAGAGGAGGCTGTGAGCTGCGGGTCTGCCATTCATCCACACATTCAGCACATGCTTGAGAGCCGCTTCTGGCCCATGCTTGCAGGAGTGTGCTGGGGCACAGAGCAGGCGGTGGTGACGTGCTCTCTAAGAGCCTGGGGTCCCGTCCCCTCTGGCTGCGGGGCAACATACCGTTCCTTGGCATGGCTGTGGTGGTTAGCGAGCAGCCGTGCAAGCAACATGGCGTGTTCTGTTGTGTTGTTTTCCTTTTTAAAAATTCATGAGAAACAGCATGGTGTCATCTCGCTTTGGAGACGCTGTTAGGGTGTTTTCCCTCCCTCCTCACTGCTGCGTGTGAGCGCTCTGTCCTTGACGTGGGGGTCTGGGTCACAGGGCACTCACCCGCCTGGTTTCTCTTCCAGCTTTGCCATCGTCCTCTGGGGGGTGCTTACCCAGAAGAAACCGTTTGCAGGTGAGTGGATTCTCTTTGGAGCCAGTGGGACTTTCTATGTACTCTCTCTGCTCTCAGACGGCACCGCTGGCCCGGCCTGCCCTGGGCCTCGAGGCCAGCTGGGCTACCTTGGGGTCCAGCTGCCCTGCCCTGCTGGGCGGCTCTTCGAGGAGAGATGACCACCCTAACACCACAGCTCCTAGCAGTGCTCTTGCAGTATAACACACTCACAGGGAGGGTTCTGGTGATGGTGACAGTTGTGCACAGTGGGTCCCCACCACCCAACCCCAGAGCTCAACACCTCCCTTCCTTTCCCCCCAGGCCACCAGAAGCTTCCTTTTCATCCCCAGGAAGCCGTTTCCCTCCGCCTCCTAATACCTCCGCAGTGTAGCTGCAAGGTCCTGACAGCCTTCACCCCAAGTTCCCAATGTGCCTCCCCAGCTCCTCACCCGGCCTTCCCCAGTTTCTAACATGCCTCCCCTGACCACCAGCTCCCAACATGCCCGTGGGAAGAGAGCGCCCGCAGAGGCAGGCAGATGCTGTCATAAGGTGTGGAAAATTGGCCCAAACTTCCTAGCTGCTGCCAGATCCCACACTGATGTTCTGTTCTGCTTTCCCGTTAATTCTTGGGCAATGACAATCACAGTGTTTTTAGGTGTGACCAAAAAAAAAAAATCCCTAAAGCTACAGCTCAGTGAATACGTGGCCCACAGGTCTGGATGCTGCAGACTAGGGAGCTGTTGGCGGCTGCCCTGGTGACGGCCTTACGCTGAGGGAGGAAGGGACGCTGTCTGGTCTTGTCCCTCTACATGTTGGGGTGGTCCGAGACAAGGAGGCTGTGGAAAATCAGTGCTGGACCCGCAGAGTAGTTCAGGAGCTCTCAAAACTTAGGCCATCTTGGGACTGCCTTCATCACAGGAGGAAGAACTGGATATTCCAATAGCCTTCTTCTAACAGGGTGACATCTGCTTTGCCTTGTTACCTGTCATGGTTTCTTCCCGAAGGACTCCTTTCCCTCATGAGGCCTGTGTGTGATCTACTTTTTTGTTTAACCTTGGCAAGCCTACCATTGTCTGATAGAAGGCCAGGGATGTGTTATAAATAGTTGAGCGCCAGCCTTTTATTGCTTGGCAGATATGGACGGGACCTTAAAGGTGTAGGAACCCGGTGGAGCAGCTCCATGCCCAGCCAGCGGCAGGGCTCTCCAGGTGTCCGTTTCTTGGTGGTTCAGTGAGAGGAGCTGCCTGGTTCTGGAAGGCTGGGTTATCGTGGGAGCCAGGGCGAAGGCGCTTACACATGGGATTTCAGGGGGAAGGGAAACAACCAACAGTGTGGGACCTGACACTTCTGGGCCAGTTTTCCACACGCCTCTCCAAAGAGGGTCCTTCCCCTGGGGAGTGTTGGACCACCCAGCCCGAGCTTGATGGACAGTGAAACTGGCCCTGGGAGCAGCCCTTTGAGCCCATCCCCACGGAAGTACAACCTCACCCTGGGCCCCAGCAGGGGGTCCCGTGTTGTCCTGCCCACTCCTTGGTGAGAGCACCCTGCGGCTGGCTCTCTGGGAGCTGCAGGGGTGGGGGAGGGAGAAGCTGCTGTTGGAGGTAGGGGCTGGAGTCTGGGAAGGTTTTGCTCCCTGTTTTGGGTGCTGGGTGCTGCGAATGCTGTGGTGCCTGCGTTGCTGCCTTTGGGCAGGCTTGGGCCACTTGGGAACATGCCCTGTCAGATGCCTCCCTCCTTTGAAGCTGCTGCTTTTCCTTTGCGTTAGAGGCCCAGAAAGATCGTCCCCGTGATAGAGCACCCTGCTTCCATCTGGTAAACCGTAACCCCCTAAAATGTCCCAGAATGTGTGTGCCTCCTAGGAAGCAGGGCTGGGGAGGAAGCACCGTTTCCCAGGCAACAGCCCGTGGACTTGGATAGGCAGGTGGCGGCACTGCCCCTGCCCCTGGGTGCTTTCCCACGGTCCCGGTCCCTGGTTCCTCTTGTAGATGAGCCGCCCTCCCCCCTCCCCTGGCTCCGAGCTGTCGTGACTTGTGCACCTTTCCTTCGCAGACGAGAAGAACATTCTGCACATCATGGTGAAGGTGGTGAAGGGCCACCGCCCCGAGCTGCCCCCTGTCTGCAGGCACCGGCCTCGCGCCTGCAGCAACCTGATCCGCCTCATGCAGCGGTGCTGGCAGGACGACCCAAGAGCAAGGCCCACCTTCCAAGGTGAGCGGTCCTGTGTGCGGGCTCCCCTGCTAGGCTGCCCAGGTGGGGGTGAGAGTGGGGTGGGGCCTGGAGGGTCACAATATGGGATGCAGTGGTCTGGATGCTTTTACACCCCTGGCTTAAGTAGAGTACCTCGCATTGCTTCCTCGTTGAGCACCACATGAGTTATTTCAGGTGCATGCCGTTCGCCTCCTTGGCGGCTGGCATTGAATAGAAAGGGCTTCAGCCTAGGCCTCAGGGTCAGAGGAGAGCAGCAGGCTCACGAACCCAGCCCAACAGATGAGTCGTCCACCTGCCTGGGGCCCTGAAGCCATCCCCACCCTGCAGTACAATGCGTCTTCAGACAGGTGACTGAGGGGCTCCCGGTGCACTTTGCTGAGGGTCTTGTTTCCAACCTGTGTAGCTTGGTTAGGAGAGTCGCCTGGTGAGATTGACATAGTCCCAAGTACAGAGAGGGATGGCCACTTGGATGGGGCATGGGCCCTGCCCCTGGACCCCAAGGAGCATGTAAGCCGGGCATCCCGAAGGGATGCTCCTTTAGGATCTCGGAGAAGAGCGGCCCCTGCGTTCATCCCAGTTCACTCATGAGCCCCAGAGGCTGCTGGGGCCCCTGGCTTGCCTGGTGAGCCAGGCTCTGTGTGGGAGGTCTGAGAAGCACCCCCATCCCCGTTCCCCCAGGCTCGTGCCAAAGCCCGGTGGGCCGGCTGCCCCGCTGTGGCTGCAGTTAGACCTTGGAAGTAGCATGCTGTAGAAGTGACGTGCCCTGTTGTTCTCCCTAAAGAGATTACCTCCGAAACCGAGGACCTGTGTAAAAAGCCTGACGACGAAGTGAGAGAACCGGCTCCAGACCTGGACGGCAAACGTTCCCCTGAGCCCAAGAGCGAGGTAAATTGGATCATTTTTTTTTAGGGGGGGTATAATTTTTGGCTGTCTTTGTTGGCTTCGGGGCTGGGGCTTTTGCCCACAAGCAGCCCTGATGCTGTGCAGGGTGCCCCCGTGAACCTGGGTGCTCACCCTGACATCTGAGACTGTGTTAGGAGCCCATGCCTGGTCTGTGCCCAGCACCAAGTGTGCTTCCTCCCAGCTGGCCACCAGGCTCTAGACACCTTTCTCCATCCCACCCAAACTCTGTGGGTCTCACTCGAGACGAAATAGCCACCCACCGGACACTGAGTGACAGAGGACCTCGAGTAGCTTCTGGGCCCGGGTGGCCGGTGGGGGGAGGGCTGTAATAGGCGTTTTGGTGGTCTTGGGTGTTTGTTTGGTGTCTCTGCACCCCTGGCTTGAGTCTCTGGACTCTTTTAAAAACATAGTTATCTATCTCACTGCCATTGAATCAGTGCTGACTCATAGGATCCCCGTTGGTTTCTGAGACTGTAACTGTTCATGGCAGTAGAAAGCCCACTTTTTCTCCCATGAGCTGCTGGTGGTTTCAAACTGCCGATCTTGTGGATCGCAGCCCAGTATGTAACCACTACACCACTAGGTTTCATATATACGTGTACACACACACACACACACACACACACACACAATCTTTTAACTTCTCACGAATGGTGGTTCCATTATTGAGCACCGCTTAAATCTTTTCAGGTGCAATAAGAACTTCCCAGCACTTGGACTCTAAGTATATTTTAGGATAACAGGACTTGTAAAGTAAAGCCTAATAAACTGCCTTTAAATAGCTTCTTATCGAGTCCCACAGCTTATTCCAGGCTGGCCTTGTGAGGTTGGGAGATAAGTCACCTGTGTGGCACACCCACTGTCTGAACATAAATTGTGTGTGTGTGCGCGCGCACGCATGCATGTTTGCAAGTGCAAGGATCAGGGAACAAATCTAGCCCAGGGAGGAGACCGTGAAAATCAGACCTGGCCTCTGGGAAGAAAAAGAAAGGCAGCCAACAAGTGGGTCTGACTCAGTCTGGAAGGCGGAGGGAACACGAATCAGGCTCTCATGTTCCCAAAGAGGAGGAGAGGGATTTGGAAGCAGATGAATGGGCATGGGTCAGGGCAGAACATGGGTCACAGGCTGCTTCCAATCATCAGGAATCGTCTTGTCTCCCAACCTGTCAGTCTGTCCTGGATTGGACAGTCCTGTGGTCCTTGGCAGCTAGGTCGATGTCCACACCTTCGCCGGTGTCCACACTCAGTTCCTAAGCTCGATTTGCAGGACTCAGGGGCCGCTGAGTTGGCATTGATTCGATGGCAGTGAGTAAGAGGCGGTGGTGCGGTGGCGCAACGCTTGCCTTCCATGCAGGAGACCCAGGTTCCGTCCCGACAACACCCCTCCTGTGCCGTCGCCCTCTCTGCTGATGGGGTGTGCTTGCTCCTGAGAGGCTGAGCATGTGCCAACACTGGGCTTTTCTAGCTGGGCAGCATCCGGCCGCTCCCACCTTGCGCTCTGGCGGCTTGCTCCAGTTCTGCCTTTGGTCCGCGCAGCGCAGCATGTAATGCCACTTAGCCCCTGGCATCTGGAGCAGGACAACATGGACTTCCCGTTTCTGTTAAGTCACTGGTGCCCTCCGACTTCCTCCTGCTGGCAGACCCAGCCCGGGGCTCCGGCAGCACTGTTGCTCGGGCTCTGCGTCTACGGTTACAGATACTGCATTCTGCACCTTGCTCGCGGCCACGGACGCTCTTCTCCTCTTTCTCGTGCCGGGTGTCAAAGTTTCCTATTCGCGTACCAGAAATAGCACAAGTGGGTGCCTTCAGCCAACACCAATGTGTTGTCACGCACTTCAGAAGACTCAGGGTCCAAATTGAGCTCATGAGCTTGGGGTGGCCATGGGTGCTGGGGGTGGGGGGGGCTCTCTGTTGACGCTGGCGTCCTTCTATCTTTCCAGCTTCCATTCTCCTTGGTCAGCTTCATGGGACTTTGTGTCTGTCTTCCCCCGTCTGTGCCTCCTTGCTTCTCTCAGAAAGGATTAGCTCCGAGCACACCCTCTTTTACGGTCCACCTGGACAAAGAAAGCCCCCTGCCCAGACAGAGCCCATCCACTGGCATTGCTGCTGGTGGTTGCCACGTAGTGGCCTCAGCCCCCCTTGACCCCATGTATGCAGGGTAGAACGGCTGGGCTGTCTCCCCTGCTGCCTCTAGGTGGGTGGGAGCCACCACCCTTTTGACGCGTAGTTTGAATGAGGAGCCCCAGTGGCAGAGGTGGCAGAGCGGTTACGAGTTAGGTTGCTAACCACAAAGTCAGCCGTTCGAAACCACCCACTTCTCTGTGGGAGAAAGGTGAGATTTTCTACTCCCATAGAATTACAGCCTCAGAAGCCCAGCGCCAGTTCTGCCTCGGCCTGTAGGGATACTATGAGTCTGCATCGGCTTGATGGCAGTCGGCTTGGCTTTTTTTTTTTTTACTTGATGGGTGGACGTCCAATGGGGGGCAACACCATTCAGTGTCTGCCTGTCGTTCCCCTTGCTGTCCCATATTTGTGTCCCGGAGGAGCTGAGTAATAGATGGTGTGGTCTCCATGCCTTCCCCTCTCCCCTCCCTCCCTGGCAGGCGATGCCCATGTCTACGCCTCTCAAGCGCGCCTCGGCCCCAGCCTTTGACAACGACTACAGCCTCTCGGAGTTGCTGTCGCAGTTAGACTCTGGGGTCTCTCAGACCATTGAGGGCCCTGAGGAGCTCAGCCGCAGCTCCTCGGAGTCCAAGCTGCCCTCGACGAGCAGCGGCAAAAGGCTCTCGGGGGTCTCCTCGGTGGATTCCGCCTTCTCGTCCAGAGGGTCACTGTCCTTGTCATTCGAACGCGAGCCTTCGACGGGTGGTGAGTGGAGAACACCGCTGTGCCCGGGTGACTCATGGGCTGGGAGGGCCAGGGACCACTGCGTAGGATCCGGTGTCCAAGTTCTGACCCTTCACAAATTGATTTGGAAGCCACCGCAGTGGTGGCTCTTAGAGAGTAAAAAGAACAGCCCATGTCTGGCTGTCCCACCGATCCCACCTGTGCCCAGTCAGGTGCAGGGACTGACGTCAGGTGTACAGATGGGGGTGAGCCAGTGTGCCCCGGACCCACCTGTCTCTGCTGAGCCTGCCTGCCTCTCCCCTCCTTGCAGATCTCGGCACGATGGATATTCAGAAGAAGAAACTGGTGGATGCCATCGTGTGTGGGGACACCAGCCGGCTGATGAAGATCCTGCAGCCCCAGGACGTGGACCTGGTCCTGGAGGGCAGTGCCAGCCTCCTGCACCTGGCCGTGGAGGCCGGCCAGGAGGAGTGCGTCAAGTGGCTTCTGCTCAACAACGCCAACCCCACGCTCACCAACCGGAAGGGCTCCACGCCCCTGCACCTGGCCGTGGAGCGGAAGCTGCGTGGGGTCGTGGAGCTGCTGCTGGCCCGCAAGATCAGCGTCAATGCCAAGGACGAGGACCAGTGGACGGCGCTACACTTCGCCGCTCAGAACGGCGACGAGAGCAGCACGCGGCTGCTGTTGGAGAAGAATGCGGCCGCCGACGAGGCGGACTGTGAGGGCCGCACGCCTGTGCACGTGGCCTGTCAGCACGGCCAGGAGAGCATCGTGCGCATCCTGCTGCGCCACGGGGTGGATGCCGGCCTGCAGGGCAAGGACGCCTGGGTCCCGCTGCACTATGCTGCCTGGCAGGGCCACCTGCCCATCGTGAAGCTGCTGGCCAAGCAGCCGGGTGTGAGTGTGAATGCCCAGACAGTAGATGGGAGGACGCCTCTGCACCTGGCCGCCCAGCGGGGCCACTACCGTGTGGCCCGCATCCTCATCAGCCTGCACTGCGACGTTGGCATCTGCAACCAGCTCTCCCAGACGCCCCTGCACGTGGCCGCCGAGACGGGCCACACGAGCACCTCGCGGTTGCTGCTGCACCACGGTGCTGACAAGGAGGCACTGACTGCCGAGGGCTGCACGGCCCTGCACCTGGCTGCCCGCGGTGGACACCTTGCCACCACCAAGCTGCTAGTGGAGGAGAAGGTGGATGTGTTGGCCCGTGGGCCATTGAGCCAGACAGCGCTTCACCTGGCCGCCGCCTCTGGACACTGGGAGGTGGTGGAGGAGCTGGTCAGTGCTGACAGCATCAACCTGTCTGATGAGCGGGGCCTCAGTGCGCTGCACCTGGCCGCCCAGGGCAAGCACGCCAAGACGGTGGAGGTGCTCCTCAAACACGGTGCCTACATCAACCTTCAGAGCCTCAAGTTCCAGGGCGGCCAGCAGCCGGGCGGGGACCCTGGCCAGAGCTCTGCGTCCACGCTCCTCCTGAGGAATAAGACTTAGCCTGTGCCCATGAAGTCCGGGCGAAGGTCGGGGGCTCCTGCCCCATCATTGTGTTCTGCTGCGGGGACAGAACGGTGCCGCGCTGGGTGGCTGCACTTTCCTTGTCGGGGTCCAGCTGAAACACCGGACAAGGGACGAGACAGCATCGGGGTGTGCAGGCAAGAGGGAGGGGGCCCCCAGGGTCTCTGTGCTGTGCCTGCCTCTGCCTAGGCCTGCTCCTCTCCAGCGCAGCGGGCTGCCCTGCTCTTGGCTGGTCAGCAGGCCTGGGCCTGGCAGGGAGGATGGGTCGGAATCATTTCGTTGTGCTCCTGTTTCTCATGGTTCCCTGACGCTGGGGCCTCGGTGACAAAGTCACCGGTGAGCTTGAGTGTGCTCTGTCACAGAGGGGCACCCCCTCTGGTTGGGGAGGGGAGCACCCCAGTATTGGAGTGAAGAGGTTGAGGAAGAGCTGTGTGGTTTACCTTCATCTAAAGCAGCAGGCAAAGAGGCCTGTTGTGTGAAATTCATAGTGAAGTTCTTGTTTTATACAATGCCTTGGATAGAGGACCATCCTATTGACGGCTGCTTTAAATCTGTCAAAGTGTCATGACATTGGTAGTCTCCGCCGTAAAGGACATGGATAAAGAACAAGGGTCATTCCTCCTGGAGAAAAAGAAAGAGACCCAACAAAGACCTTACGGCTCATTATTTGCGAATTTGTCCTCTGGGTGGAGGGGGGTGGGGGGGCATATCCTTGCTCCAGGAAGATTCCTTGCTATTCACTTCTTGTTGCATTAAAAAAAAATTAATGCTTTAGAGCCCAAAAGGTAAACCCATACAAAGCCATTTGAAAATTTGATTACTTTCTAACCTCCGATTTGGACTGAAAGCCGTATCACCTGGTCAGAGGAACCACCTCGCTCCTTAGGTTCCTGTCCGGCTCTCATTCTTGGTAAGGCGGGGATTGCCCTGAGCGATGATCATGTCTGGGGGTCACAGAGGAGCTTTTGGACCTGTTTTACAATGGCTGCGGCCATCAGAGTCTGTGCATGTTAAGACGTACGGGTCCCAAGGTGGCTCCAGGACCGAGCCACACTCTCGGATAGAAAAGATCCCATCCGCCCAGTCTCACATGCCAGCGTCATGCATGTCCTGTGAGGTGCCTTCTGAATGCTGTCAGAATGAGTTTGGCGCAGACCTTGAACCTCGTCGTGTGGTGTAGAGTATGATACAGAGATTGATATTAACGTACTGTGTATGTTAACATGAGTCTACAGGCAGGATGCTTCTTTTCTGTGACAGGAAATATCCAGGCTCTTTAGAACTGGCTATGTTTTAATATGCCTCATTGTGCTTGGCTATTGTTCATATAGATTGTGTGGAAGACCAAACACATTCTGTTGGATGTCAATAAAGCAAAGTCTTTTCTTCTGTTCTCTGAAGTCCATGCGTCTGCTCTTTCCTCCGAGAGCTTTTGGTGCGAGGTCTGAAGATCAGGGGTTTGAAGTGCTCCTGGGCCCTGCCAGATGTCTGGTGCCCTGGGAGAGAAGATAGTCCTGAGAGAAGAATCTCTCAACACCCAAGTCTACATTTCTTTTAAATATTGAAATAAGCAGAGTATTCCTGAAATAACAATGCCTAGATCCCCATGTTTACTTGTCATCTGTGTGATCATTCTCTTTTCTTTCTCAGCTGTATTGCCCATTGTCTGTCAGTCTTCCTGTGCCCCATTACTCGTACATGCTTCGCTGTGGATCTAGGAACAAGGACAATATGTAGTAAAGCCAGTGTCCACTTCAGAATTAGGAAAAGTGCCTCGATGCAATACAGTATAATTAACAAGTCCTATGAAAACTATATATAGTTGGTTGGTTTGAACCACTGACCCAGAATCACCGATTCTCAGCCTACAATGCTGCCAGGGTTCTTTTCCTGTGTCACCAGTGGGTTAAAATCTGTTATTTTGCTACTCAAATGAGCCTATAGGGCTCATCCGTCCTGGATTCCCTGTATTTTCAGTTCCTATCTGTACCAGTGTAC